CCAGGGGGCAGCAGGCTGCAGCAGCACGCCAGTGGGAAAGGTGGGAAGGATGAGGTCAGAGAGAAGGAGGGGCACAGCAGTGGGGCCTCGCAGGCCGTGGTCGTGGTCGAGGGGCTTTGGCTTCGCTCTGAGCGGCGGGGAGCCGTTGGAGAGTATGAACAGAGGGCGGATACCCCTGCTGGTTAAAGGCTGTCTCCGACTGTTGCCACGTGACTGGACTGTGGGTGGGGGGGAAGGAGACAGTTGCCATCATCGAGACGAGAGACGTTTGCTACGTGGCCCAGGCGGGGGCACTGGTAAAGAGATTGGATTCTGGATGTTATTTGAAAGTAGAACCAAAAATGGGACTTGAGACAGATGTGGTATGAGGAGTGACCAAGAGGAGCGAGGATGTCTCCAGGGTTTGGTCGGAGACCCTGAAGGATGGCATTGGCTCTGACGGGGCTCCCTGTCTCTCTGTGGTGAGCACATGTGCCTTCTGGCAATGTTTTAAAAATAGAAAATAGACAACTTCTTCAAGGCACTTTGGAGGGGGGCCGGGAGTCAAGAGAAAGTGTGTGTGTGTGTGTGTGTGTGTGTGTGCGTGTGTGCGTGTGTGCGTGTGTGTGTGTGTCCCAGCTAGACAATGTGCTTGTGTGCGCATGACAAGAAGGAAGTGCTGATATGCAGGAGAGGGTGGTGACTTGCTGGGGACTCCCTTGCATAGGGTGGGGTCCAGCAGGCTTGCAGGGAGCCTGGCCACCTGTGTGGGTACAGGTGCAGAGGCAGGAAGGGACGGCTGTGGGCGTGGCTTAGAGCCCTCCCTGCAGGGACTCAGTGTGCACTGCGCAGCCCCAGTGCTCCCACCTGCCCTTCAGGTGGCTGGCTTAATGAAACAGGGTCCCCCACTCAGAAAAGCTGTGGGTATGGCATCCCAGGTCTTGTCATGTGACTCTCGTGACAATCTCTGCATCAATCTACCTGTGATTAGGGATCATACCTTGAGTTCAGCTTCCTTAAATCTCTTTTTTAAGTTTACTTATTCTTCCATGAGATAGAAAGAGAGAGGAGGAGGAGAGGACAAGGACGGGAAAGGGAGACAGAGATTCAGCACCCCCAACAGGGTCGTGATGCCATGAAACACCCTCACCCCAGCTAGCCCCGGATCATGGGCACACACGCCTAGCTTACTCAGGCCCCCAGACACGAGCCCCAAACCTCCCGTGCAGGCCAGCCTCGCAGAGCTTCCCCCTGTACCTCAGAGCCCCCGTCATCTCCTCTCTGAACGGCGCCTGCTAGGAAGCCTTTCCAGGTTCTCCCAGAAGGATGAGGTCCCATCAGCTTTAAGTGGGAGGCAGTTTCAGAGGCAAGGGGCGAGGCCAGTCCCTGCACCCCCCGTGATGCTTGGCCCATCCTCGGGTCTGTGTCACCTCCCTCTCCCCTAGACACACGCCCCTCCCTCCCAGCTCGGCTATTCGAGGCTGCAGGTGCTCCACTGCTCCACTGGTGCACCATGCTTCCCAGGCCCTCCGTGGGGCTCATGCCCACCCCTACTACCACCAGCTCCTGCCACCAGGTTCCATTGTTCTGTCCTGTCACAACCAGGTTCCTGTCCAGGCTGGGCTCACCCCCAGCTCCCTCCTTCACGCATGCTGCCCTGCACTCCACCTCACCTGGCCTCCCTGTAGCCGGAGACGCCTCTGACCTCATTCACCAACCGTTCCCCTCTACCTGTGCACCAAAACACACTTCCCCCTATGCTCCCCCACTTCCAGTCACCTCTTCTACAGGATGCCTCTGAAGTGTCACCCCATGAGATCCAACCACTCTCCCTGCAGCACTCTGAGTCTCCTTGTTCGCTGCAGGGTCTTTAGCCACCCCGGGCCCAGAGACTCCTTAGCCTGCATCTCCAGTGTGGAGCCAAGTCCGGCCTCTACCCCACACGTTTCTCACTTAGCAGAGCCAAAGCGAGCTCCCGCCTGCCCCCTCCCAGTCTCGAGGGGCCAGCTGCAGGCCAGCTTCCTCTCCTGGGTCTGTCTGGTTGGGCCAGGGACTCTCTCCAGTACACCTGCCCTGCACAGGCCCCGTGCTCCACAAGGTGAATAACTTGCCCACAGTCATGCAGTTCTAAACGGCAAGCCCAGAACTCCGGCCCCTAGAGATGTGACCCCCAACATCTTGATCTGCATGTGATGTCGTCCAGCAGAGGAGGCAGAGAGGGTGGAGGCCATAGCCAGGACTCTCCTGTGGCAAGTTTCAGTGGCTCCAGGACATGCTCTCTCTAAGTAGGAGTAGGGACAGAAGCCCCTCCCTTGGGGATGCCCATATAGCTCTGGTCACTCAGGGACCCAGTAGGGCTCGCACAGTACTGAGGCCTCACCCCTGTAGCCTCAGCTTCCCAATCCCTGGCCAAGGCCTTCACTTCAGCCTCCCCTCATTGCCTCGCTGCCCCAGCCTCTCGGGCAGCCTCCCCCATTTCTCCCACCCACACACGCCAGCCAGCCCTCATGTCACCCAGAGCCACCTCTTCAGTGGCCTCCCCAAGCCACGCAGCCCTGCACCCCAGAGAGGCCCTCAGCAGCAGGTCCTTCAGGCCAGTTTAATAAACAGGCCCTCGCCAGGATGGTGCCGCCTTGGTCGGAGGGTTTGCTCTCAGGGCCTGGCACATGCAGTGTCACACCGGTACACAGGCAGAGCCCTGCAGCAGCTGGCATGGGCACAGCCATACCTGTGGACACCTGTGGGAGCTGCAGGTCCTTCCTCCCCCAGGGCCTACCTGAGACCAGGCTGGAGTGGCCACAGACTGGTGGCAGCTAGGATAAGTAGACTTAGGGACCACCTCACCGACATGCTACGGAAGCCACAGCCAGGTGTCAGCTCACTCTGCCAGGCTACGGACAGGCTCCGGGGCCTGGGGGTCGCCCTGGCTGCCTCTCTGTAGGTCACTCAGCCCTCAGGTCTCACCCTGGGGTGGGATGCTATTCACTGGAACTTTCTCTGGGCTCAACCCCTTCCACTCAACCTAGGGTCATTCCCTGACCTGCACAGGGTCAGTCCCAGCACCGTTCTTGAGTGTGGTCCTGTGGGTGGCTGTTCCCCTGGATCCCAGGGCCCAGAACGGATCTGTTCCCTCCCTCAGCCCAGGCCCTTCACCTCTATTAACGTTGCCCAAGGTCCCATGTGCTTCCTGGTGGTTTCCTCTCCTGCATCTCACCATGACTTCCGTCCCTCGCCCCTCCTGCAGCAAGCTGTCCAGCTCTGCAGTCCTCTCCCACAGGCCTGGGCCCAAGGGCCCTGTGCCCAAGCCTGAAGTTCATTGCATTTGTGGTCTCTCTGGGACAGACCCAAGCCTGCCACCCACAGCCCTCCCCCCTGTCCTGTGGCCTCAACGCCACCTACCACTGGGTACAGAGCAGGGCTCCTGTGAAAGTCTGAAAGAAATCCCCTCAGGGCCTGAACACGTGGGGAAGGGCTTGGATGCAGCTGGGAGTGGTGGACACCCTGCAGTTTGGTCCCAGGTTAGGAAGCCCCAGTTCTTATCTGCAGAATATGGATTGTCTTTCTGACTGATCAGTCCATTCTAAAGTGTGTAGAGGTCAGGTCAGCCAGATGGTGTGATGGTTAAGGCAGCTGGATCCCACATAGCCATCTGTGAAGTTCGACTCCCAGACCCGGCGGCTTGATGAATACTCTGAGTGCATTCTCGTGCGTGCCCAAAATCTCAAGGAGAATGAAAGAGAGGGGATTGTGGTGTGGCCATCCCCTCGGAGGGTGTTTTCTCACTTTCTCTCAATCTCACTCTAATGAGCACATGCACTCTATAGCAAACTTAAATTCTTTTTTAAATAAATGAAAGTATAGCAGGCACTCAGGAGAGGGGGCAGGTGTGCCCAGCCAGGGCTGGGTTGGTCAGCTGGGCTGTGGGCGGTGGGCTTCAGGGTGAGGAGCGAGTGGCCAGAGAGGCCATTTCCCTGGCTCTGACAGTAGCCTGGAGACATTGGGCATTTCTGAGGCCACAGTGCCCCCTGGTGGCTGTGCGGCCGGTGCCTTCCTGGCCCTCTTTGCTGCTCTTATTTACAAATGAGAGGCAGACAGCGATCCAGCTGCCCAGTCACACCATTAGCCAGAAGGAGAGCCAAGCCTCACACCTGGGTCTGCCTGGCTTTGGGCTGCTGCTGCTCCTCTGCCAATAGCCGCTGAAGGCACAGGGACCTGAGCTTGGAGAGTTTCCCCACCGTCTGCCACCTTCCCAAAGGCCAGGAAGGTCAAGTCTCCAAACAGAATTAGTTTGGATTCACTTTGTTTTAAAGACAACCTGCAGCTCCTGGATTGGAGAGAGACAGGGCTGTGGGTCTGGGCATCTCCGGGGGCCTCCTGCCCTTGCAGCTAGAGCCTACTGAGGGTGGGGCCAAGAGGGTCCAGGTGGGTCTGGTGTCTGCTGCAGAGGTGGGGCCCCCCACACTTGTCCCCCACCCTACCTGCCCCACTGTGCCTCTAGTCTTTCCTGGCCACCTACTCCCAGGCCTCCCTCCGGTCGTCATCCTGGAGCATTCCTGGAAGAAACTTGGGACTCATGGAAGAAATTTGGGGTTCTTTACCCTGCTGGACAGAGGCAAAGTGAGGCTGGGGGAGCAAAAGGGGCTGGCCAGGGTCTCCCACCTTTTCTGGGGCAGAGCCAGGGTACACTCATTTCTCCTGTGCTGGCCACGATGCCTCAGTCCTCTAGCCTCCAGTAGCCGGGAGTTCTGGTGCTCACCCCACACCCTGTTTCTCCTAAATCCCTGGGCCAGGCGCCTGCCCACCCAGGGGATCTCGGGAACACAGAGTGCTTGGGGCCAGAAGTGCCTAGAAGTCTGCTGGCCAGGTCCGGTGGGGGCCCTCCGGCAGCGGCAGGTAGGCAGGGTGCGGCCAGCACGCTCGCGGTCCCTGACGGTCCTGCTCCCAGACTGGGCTGGAGAGGCAACAAGGAGGACCAGGGTCCCGGCAGCCCCCTCTAATGGCCACGTCTCCCTCTCACACAGGGCGCTGTGCAGAGCTGCAGGTGCACATCACCGAGGCCATGGCTACGGCAACTGAGCAGAGGGAGCTGATTGCCCGCTTAGAGCAGGACCTGAGCACCATCCAGTCCATCCAGCGGCCCGACGCCGAGGTGAGCACCGCCCGCCCCCACCCGCTCCCCTCACCCCCTGCCCAGGGTTCTTTCAGCCTCTGAAAACCCCAGCTTCCTCAGGAAGTCAGCCATTCTAGGGCAGCCGGTGCTCCTCCCTGAGACCCAGAGGGGCTGTCACCCAGAGCCTCTGGGTTTTGCCTGTCCACTCCATGCAGATTCCTTTCTCCCTCACGTTGGGATGCCAAGCCACAGAGCAGAGCCACAGGGCTTCCCCAAGCTGGCACAAAGCGCCTGTGTCCCCAGCGGGTTTGGCTCACTGCCCCAGCGCTCTGTGCAGAGGCAAGGTGGGGATGACACACCCACCCCCAGCCAAAGGACCTGAGGCCTTGAAATCAGAGAAGCCTGGGGCCTAACACGCCCTTGGGGATGGCATATCATTTATCTCTCATTTTATTGAGGAGGAAATGGGGCTTGGAGTGAGGGGCCGAGCTGCCAGACTCTGGCTTTGGGGGCCCCTTGGGGCCCAGCGTCTCTGCTTTAGTAGCCCCGCTAAGTGCCTGGTCCCAGGCCCTTCAGAAGCCTCGCCCCACCACCAGGCAGCCCCACATGCTCCTTGCCTTCCTGCATTTTGCCTAGTCCCTCGGAAAGGGCTTGTTCAGTGCCCGCTGCGGGGCGACACCTCCCCGACCTCGTCCTCTCACCTGCAGGGCGCTGCCGAGCACCTGGAGAAGATCCCAGAGCCCATCAAAGAGGCCACTGCCCTGTTCTATGGTAAGGAGCAGGCCAGGACGGGGGAACAGGTGGTCAGCCGGAGAGCCCACAGCCCTGCCTCGGAGGGCTCAGGGGCCCCAGCCCCGCACTGCTGCAGCGACTTAAAAAGGCAGATGAGCCTCCCACCCACCCTTCTGGCTGGAGGGGAGGTGGCCTCCTTAGGTGCTGAGGCCAGACAAAACCTGAGGCTGCTGGGCTAGGATATGGGGGTGGTGGACATGGCTCCCAGTTCCCTCAGTGTCCCCTCTCCCCCCAGAACTAGGGGCCAGTCTGACAGGTGCAGAGGTCCCAGATCCAAGTGCAGAGTAATGGGTCGGGGAGCTCTGGGGCCTGGCCCTCTGTCAGTACAGATGGGTGAGCCCCCAATCTTGGGTGAGAGCCCTCCTCCACCTCCTGGGTTCCCCTGGCTGTCCCTTTCCCCTCCCTGACCTGCTCAACACCAGGTGGTCAGACACCATTGACCCTTCTGCCCCATGGAACTTGGCCAGAAATTCCTCAGGGCTGGTAGCCACTGCCCAAGGGCCCCTGCTGAGCTCTGCCTCTGACCACCCCAAACCACTCTCCTATACCTCTCAGGACCCTCAGCATTGGCCAGCGGCCCCCTCCCCGAGGGCCATGTCGATTCTCTGCTTTCCATCATCTCCAGCCAGAGGGAGCGCTTCCGGGCCCGGAACCAGGAGCTAGAGGCTGTGAGTCCCACCCTGCACTCCCTACACTCCTTGGACCTGAGGGCGCAGTGAGGAAGGACGCAGGCGGGGGGCAGAAAGTTGTGTCATAGACCGTAAAGCACAGTGGGATTAGAGTTATGCTGTGCAGTCAGATAGGGCTTCCTGGAGGAGGTTGTGCCACACTGAGCATTGAAAGAAGAACCAGACAGTGTAGAGGAGATGGGGCCAGTAGCCAAGGAGTGCAGCAAGGACTCAACACAGAGTCACCGGGAAAGTGCCCTCCTGCTTCTTCATGCAGGGACACCAGCGAAGGGTTTCAGGAGGAGAGGGACCCTGTGAGAGTGGAGCATAAGGGCCGGCACAGTGGTGCAGCAGTACCACACTGCCCAGCTGATGCTGGATCCATATGAAAGATCGTGGGTTCGGTTCCCGGGCAGCTTGTAGACACCAGACACGCGCCCATGATCTTGACCGATGGGAGGGCTGGGGACGAGGGGATCATGGTGTGAGATCCTGTTGGAGTCTCTCTTTCTCTCTTTCTCGCTCGCTCTTTCTCTGTCTCTCATGAACAAAAGAAACTTACAAATAAAAAAAAAAAAAAGTAAAGGATGGAAGGTAAGAAAGGTCACTTGGGAGGTCACTTGGGAAGCCAATTCAAGACAGAAGACTAGCCCAGGAGGATGGCCAGGGAGCAGTTACCATTGTTCAGGACGAAGCACTTAAATCTGGTCAGGGAATGGAGAGGCATGGGTGGGTTGGAAAGAGGAGGGTCTTAAGCCCCTACAAAAATGAACAGTGTAGACAGATGCCCAGAGTTCCGTGGGGTAAGGAGAGGGAGGAGCCCAGAGAGCTTGCTGGTGGCCTTACTGGAGGTGCGCCTTTAAGGGCCGGTCTGCCCAGATGACTGCTTCAGTCGGCAGTCTGCAGCTGGGAAGTGTCGGGAGGTGTTTCCATGCAGGCATCACTGACTCGTGGATGGTGACAGTGCCAGCAAGGGTGTCCAAGACACCAAGGGCAAGGCCAAGGTCAGGATGTCCCCACAGAGGGTGTGGACACAGGATCCCAGAGTGCAGAGCCCAGTGACAGACCAGAGGAGCACCTGGAGGTGGCACCATCTGGTCTTGGGGACTCTACTGATCCCCCACTCCCATCACACAGAGCCAGCTCAGGCCCCCTAGTTCCTCCCCGTGTGAGCAGAGTAGTCAGGGCCAGGGCCAGTCCTGGTGCAATGACAAGGGCAGGTCAGATCCAATAGGACCCTCTGGGATTAGGGTTTGGGACAAGAGGCTCTGAGTGAACAGCAGGAGGGCCTGTGGGTTAGGGTCAGGAATGGGAACACCCCTCCTGCCAGGGAGACTGAGGACAGCTGTGTCGTGGGATAGCATGCGGCATCCGAAAGGGGTTCTGCAAGAGAGATTAAGTAGGGCAGAAAGTACTTGATAGTGTTCTACTGCGTGCTCTACACATCTAGGCTTTCACCAAGTGTTTTTTAAAAAAACTGAGATGAGATTAAGGAACATAACATAAAACTTGCCATCTTAACTGGTAACCAGCGCGGTAGTGAATACATTCATGATGGACACCCAGCACTGCTAGCCTTCTCCAGAGCCTTGTCATCTTACAACCCGAAACTCCACCCAGTCCCCTCCTTCCAGCCTCCCGAACTGCCATCCTACTGTCTGGCTCCAAAAATTTGACTACTCTACACACCTCGTATTAGAGGAATCATACAATATGTGTTGTCTTATGACAGGTTTATGTCACTTACAATCTCCTCGAGCTTCATCCACATTGTAGCATGTGTCAGAATTTTTTTAGTGGGGAGAGGGGGACCAGCAGTTGGCGTAATGGCTGGGTCGCTGGACTCCCAAGTAGTCGACTTTGGTTTGAGTCCTGGACCCAGTGGCTTGAACTCACTCCGGGCACGTGTGCATGCATGCCCAAGATCCTGAGAGGAGAATGGAGGAGAAGGGATTGTGGCGTGGCCATCCCCCTGGGGGGGGATTTCTCGCTTTCTGTCTCTATGTCTCTCTCGGTCTTTCTGGCGAGCGCACGCGCCCTATAGCAAAAACCTCTCCAATAAGTGAGAGAGAAATGGTAGGTGTGAGAGAGGGCGACCCTAACAAGGGTTCAACGCCATGACCTCCCTCCACCCTTTGGCCAGCCTGGCGTCATTGGCACACACATGCCTGCTCTACTTAGGGAAGTCTCTGGACTTGAACCAGGAACCTTCTCAGTGGGGTTGCATAGCTGAGCATTGAGATTACTGCTGTGTCACCTCTGGCCCCAGGATTCCCAGTTTTTAAGGCCGACTAAATTCCACTGAGTGGCTAGACATATTTTGTTTTCTCATTCGTGTATCTATGGGCCTTGAGTTGCTACCATGGCTTAGCTATTGTGAATAGGGCGTCTATGAACCTTGGCTCACAAATAGCTTTTCAAGATCCTGCTTCTGGGACCAGCAGTTAGCGTAATGGCTATGTCACTGGACTCCCACATGGTCGACCGCGGTTCATGTCCCGGACCCGGTGGCTTAAAACCCACGCCGGGCGCGTGTGCGTGCGTGCCCAAGATCCCGAGAGGAGAATGGAGGAGAAGGGATTGCGGTGTGGCCATCCCCCCTGGGGGGTGATTTCTCACTTTCCGTCTCTCTGTCTCTCTCTGTCTGTCTGGCAAGCGCAAGCGCCCTATGGCAAAAACCTCTCAAAAAAAAAAAAAAGACCCTGCTTCCAAGTCTTTTGGATATGAATCCAGAAGTGGAATTCCTGGGTCATGTGATCATTCTGTGCTTATTGTTTTGAAGAGCCGCCATACTACCATGTACTTTTTTGTCCTGCTTGGATTTTGAACAGTGGGAAAGAAAGGCCTATTGAAGCATTTGAATGAACTGAAAAATGAGATCCCATTTCACCTTGCCCCTAGGTTGGCAAACAGTAAAACCACATGGTGTGCGATTCCATTTATGTTCAGAATAGCAAATCCATAGGGGCAGGAAGTTGACTAGTGGTTGCCAGGGGATGAGAGAGGAGGGGATGGGAGCGACTGCTGACAGGCTGTATTTTTTTAGAGATTTTTGCAATAAGGCAATGGGTACTCATCAGAGAGAGAGACAGAGACACAGAAAGCAAGAAATCACCCTCAAGGGGGTTGGCACATCACAATCCCTTCTCCTCCTTTCTCCTCTTGGGATTTTGGGCACACACACACACACATGCACCCAGCATGATTTTCAAGCCACCAGGTCTGGGAGTCTAATCGTGGACAGCCAATAGGAGTGCAGCACCCCAACCACTATCCTACCTGCTGGTCCCAGGTATGGGGTATTTTTCTGGGGTGAGAACAATATTCTGGAATTTGATGGGGGGGGGGTGTATAACATCGTGAATATATTAAAAATGAGTGAATTATACACTTAAAATGGTGATGTTTTGGTTATGTGAATTTTATTTCAATAATTTGTTAAAGGTTGATAATACCAAGTAACAAACAAAATATGAAGAAACTTGAATTAAGAACTGTGACTTCTTCCTGGGGTGGGACCACAGGAGGAAAGGGGGCCTTTCTGGGGTGAGCAGCTTTGAACAGTCTGGCAGGTCAAGAAGTCTGTAGGCCATGGGCCATGGCCATCTGGATAGATGGCCTAGTACCACGCCAGCCTGGAGGCCTCACCCCCACCTTTCCACATCCCACCCTGCCCCTACAGGAGGGCCGCCTGGCTCAGCACACCATCCAAGCCCTGCAGAGTGAGCTGGACAGCCTGCGTGCGGACAACATCAAGCTCTTCGAGAAGATCAAGTTCCTGCAGAGCTACCCTGGCCGGGTAAGTGCCTGCCTCCTTGCAGCCCCAGGTGGCAGGGAAAGTTTTTTTGGAGGGTCGAGTGACCTACTGGGCAGCTCCGGGCCTGGAGCTCCCAGAAGCCATCCACCCCTAGCCTGCCAGCTGTCGTCCCTAAGCTGGGCTGAAGCCCCCAGAGTGGAACTCTTGGAGAGCATCAGAACCAGCCAGGAGGTGGTGGTACAGTGAGAAGCAGGGGTCCACCCTAGGCCCTGTGAATGGGGGTGAGCCCTGGAATTTAACCCCAGGGGTGTGGAGGACACCCTGAAGAATCAGTAGTTTCAAACTTATATATATATATAT